TAGGCCCTAAATGTTTTAGCATCAGCATACAGATTCCGTCGGGTCCAATGGCTTTGGAGGCTTTCGCCTTCCCGATGGCCCCCCTTCACTTCACAGCTGGTGAAAACAAGTGGTGCACGGTTTTTTGGCAGCTTGTGCAGCCTCCTGGTCACTCGACGTTTGGCCTCGTCTACCGAAGGGTGCAGTGTGAATTGCCTACTAAAGTAGGCTGCGCATTTCTTCGGGTCCGCGACCTTCGAAAGAGATTTCCACTCTGTCATCACGCTTCGTTGGGTTGGACAGGGACCTCACGGTTGACCAGAGCTTACTCACACCAGATGTGAAGTTACAGGCCTTCAAGTGCTCCTCCCACTTTTTCCGCTTATGCTGATTTACCAGTTGCCGAATCTCCAAATTAAGGTCCCTCAGACGGGGGTNACGGACTTCCGCGATACGTCCGGACGGGATGAAACGAGCCGCTGCGGCAGTGACTACCCTGCGGCGAAGCTGCTCTCGGTGACTTCCGCGAAGCCGTCCCAATCAGCTTTNCCGAGGGAGGAGTGAGGTCTACCTTGGGTCTGTTGCATCTGACGCGCTTGCTGTTGCTGCCTGTTGGTAGGTGGCTGCAATGAGGGCGCTGTTGTCTGCGTCAGTGGTGCTCTACAGCATGGGGTGCTGTAGTTCGCAGTCCATTCGCGCGTGGTGCGTAGACCGGAGCATAGGCGGAAGTGACACCAGCCAAGGCATGAGTTGCATTTGGCCGATGTCACGTTCCGGTATATTCTGCTCTGGCATACGGAGCAGAGGGTGTGTGCAACCAGGAGCTGCTGGTTGGCTCGCACGCGCGATTTGGACGGGCCGGTAGACTGTGGGGGAGGGAGCGGTTGGGAGGCTTGNAATTGGGCCGTTTGGCTTGAGCAGCAGGGAGCCACATAGCTTGTGGTCAACTCCCGGTGAGACCTAAGACCAGAGCAGGTTCTTAGGTGACTCCATCCGTTGCATGAGTTGCACCTAACCGAAGTGGAGTTTGGATGGAGTCGATTCTGGCAAACACAGCAGAAATACGTTTCTGGTCCGGGGTTGGGCTCTACGCCCGCCCGGAGAAGAAGGATGCGGAGCAATCCGGCTGCAAGGAGTTGCTCCATGGACGAACAATGATTAAGGGGTATCGCCGATCTAAGCGGGGTTAGGTCGCCGAAACAACAGCCCTTGGTCGGGTAAAACCCGAGTCATTCCGGTACGTAGAACCGGCTGTCTTGGGAATGAGTTCGTCTTGTTCTCTCATTCTGGTATATTTTGACGTCACGGCCAGTTGCTCTCAGCTCGATTGGCGCAATCTTGTATTCTATCATTCTTGCATGCACCGCAGAGTGCTTTTGTAGATTTTTATGTTGATTGTTGATGCATACCGATTACACATGATTCAATAATACAAGGTTAGATAATTATTGACAGCCGCGGTTCGACACTCCCTTACAAAAGGTTGCATTTACGAAGGATGGGGAAAGGGGAGGAATGAAATCCATTGCTGCGAAAATGGTAGTAGAAAAGTACCCAAAGTAGGCAAATAGTAGTGAAATTCCTTTTGTAAATTCTAATGTATTTGCAGGAAATCTAGCATTTTAAACGAATTATTGTACGAAATGATAATATATCTACGTGAATTACAAAATTTTTGTGTTATTTAGCCGTATAAAAACTGCAAAAAGACTCAAAATTAAAATAAAACTACTATGAGATTGATGTAAACATCCAATTTAAAAACAGTTTATGTTTTCCTCAGTTAAATACGCTTCATATGCATATACAAATAAACATATTGCACAAAAGCTGATACTTCTATTTCACACCAAAGCTACACTGTTTCCCAAGTAAATTTGCAAAGAAGCACCACGGTGCCACTGCTAAGGGAGCGGTGGGAGAGAGACAACTGTCAGTTTATCGAACCTTGTATTATTGAATCATGCCGATTACATATATTAAGTACGGACAGATAGCCAGTTTAGCAGCGCATGTACACAACTGAGGACCTACTCTGATCTAAATCAATCAATAAACCGTTTTTTAGTTCCATTTCACAATGTGATTTTACCTATTTAACGACAAATGCCATTGAACTTGACATAGTGAAAACTAGCCTTAACGTCTACCCTCAACGTCAGCAAAGATTTTTTACTTCAAAATAAAATTAGTTAATGGGTTTTTAATGCTTGTTATAATTTTAATGCAAAAAATTATTGCAATAGCATTCATTTAAACATTTTAATGTTAATACAAAAAAAATCATTAGCATTATTTCTTCGGAATCAATGCATTGAAATTTTCATTTACATTAAATATCAAAAATTAATGCATTAACCTTTTTCATTTACATTAAAATGCTATGCACTAAAAAATTTAATGCATTTTTCACAACTCTGCTATGTACATACTTAAAACTACTAGCTGTCGATTATTTACGTTAATTATCAAATTATGCGACCCATTCCAAGTTAAACTCGTTAGAAATTATGTCAAAAAGCTGAGACTGCCTTCAGTGTCGACTTTACTTTTACTATGAATATGCCCCATCATGGTCTCAACAGTTTGTAATGAAATTCTATTTCTCTTTTCATATTGGATCAATTTTAAATCTGAAAATATACGCTCAGCAGCTGCAGAGCTATTTATGAGGCAAGTAAAATAAATTACAAATGAATGAAGTCAGCTCTTAATACACGATTGAGAGAATACAAAGGTTGCGCCGATCTCGGACCGCTATTCCTCTCTTAACGAATTTGACAGAATCGTGGTTTGCATGACGTCACACTTGTGCAACTTGTTTACGTTTTCCTTGCAACATTTTTTCTTCTTCTTCCATTCTTGCTCACGTTTTGGCATTTCTCTCTCGCAATTGCACCAGTGTGACGTCACACAAAAGTTATTCTCAAAAATCCTCTCTGATCGGCGCAATCTTGTATTCTATCATTCTTGCTCTTAATACATAGTTCATTTAAAACATTTTTCTTTAAGCTTATTTGACCCTAAAACTTTTCAATATTTGCGATCAAATTCTGCCACTGCATATATACATAAATATTTTATCTTTAACATGTATCAAAACTTGTACTACGCGAAAAAGGGCTGGCTTTCCAATATGGCCGTTGGTTACGGGGACGGTGGGCGAAGGGGTAGGGACCGTTGCGCCTCCCATCCCGCATTTTAGAGAGGACATGAACCGCCATTCATAAAAATGCAACCCACGACCAATTAGTCCCCTTACAAAAATGGCAAAAAATCACAATGTTCACTTGCGTTTTGCTGCTTTTTTCGCTCGAAAAAGGCTGAAAGCAGAAATATAAACACTCATAACCACCATTATTTTACCAGTCTCTCATATAAACATTTTGGGAAAATTTTAGTAGACGGACGGCAAATTCTAGAAAAAGGGGGGATGAGGGGGGGTAGAATAGGACCCCCTGATTTCAAAAAGACCCCCCTTTTTTCTAGCAACCCTATAGTTCTTAAATAATTTATTGTTAAAGTTTTCATATAAACGATGAATAAGATAGCAAAATAACATAAAACTTGGTGCTGCCAGACTGAAATTTTGAATAATAGCGGATTTTTAATACGGAATTTTCACTTAGTAGAATTCTCCTTTCTGTGTTGCCGAAGAAGGGGGGGGCTGAACACATTTTGCAAATAACACCTTTCTGCGTAGGCGGCCTTCGGCCGCACTTAGGGATTATAACCCTCAGGCAGTAGAATTCTCCTTTCTGTGTTGCCAAAGAAGAGGGGCTGAACACCTTTTGCAGAGAACACCTTTCTGCGTAGGCGGCCTTATAAATCCTATGCTGAAACTATAATGTGATTAACATCAAGTTTCGTCAAGTTTCGCCAAACGTCATTTGGTTAAGGAAAGAGCGATACTGATCGCACCTTCCTACGTATGTATGTACATATGTAACACATGCAGTGTTGCCACATTGGGATTGTTTTTACCGAAATTGGTATTTTTTTCTTTACTTATCATATTTGGTAATTTATTTTTCAACTTGGTAACTTTTTCGATTCAGTCTTACATGTAACACAGGTCAAAAGAAGTTCTGGTTCCAAATTAGGAAGTGGGCCGTAAGCGTTTCCGTTTACAGAAACACCAGGTTTTCCTGGAAGTTTCGCAAGACGAACAGTTCTTCGGCATTTCTAGGTTACTATAATTGTGTGATCTACAACAAACTGCTTGATAGTGGCTATTGTTATATCTAATTAAATGTGGCAACACTGAACTCATGTAAGTAAAATATAGCCACCTAAAAGTCTACACTACGTTGCTTATGCATTTGACAGACTTTTCGTTCATTTTCTGACAGTCAGTTACGGCAGCTTATTCATATTATAGTTAGCCCTTTAGGGATTAGAACCCTCACTAGGTAGAGTTCTTTCAATTGTATTGTTTTGTACGGTATGACACTGCAACGGTAACACTGCAACGTTGTTGACGTGTTTGTAATCGCTCTGCGGAAAATTTTAAAAAAACAACCGAATTGTTGGGATTTTAACCAGCGTTAGAGCCAGTGACTTAAATAGCGAAGTCCTAATAAATTGTGCTATTTGCAAGCACAAAAATTTGTTTCATTTTGATTAAACAAACAAATAAATATAGCTAGAGACATAAAAGTGCAGTGAGGTGACAAAAACAATAAGGCGCGAAAATGGATAAATGCCATAAGTGCAAGAATCCAATTCGCGGTGACAGCGGAATCCGCTGCGATGGTGTGTGTGGTAAAGTGTGGCACTGGGCAAAAAAATGCTCTGAATTGAATGAGTGCAGTGCGAATGTACTCAAAGAAAACAACTTTGTGCGCTTTATGTGTAACCAATGTCACACATACATGCATAACATCGATGAGGTGCTCCGAAATATGAACTTAACAATAGAGAAAAATAGTCAAAAGATCCAAGAGTGTAATGATG